GCATCATCCAGATGCTCCTTGAACTCTGGCAGGTTTGGTGCTGTGAGCACCCTGGGGAGCCTGTTCCAGTGACTGACCACCCCCTCAGTGAAGAGCCTTTTCCTAATGTCCAGTGATGCTTTATGGAAATGATGTGGGAATGGAGCTACCCCCAGCTCTCTGACATCGTAATATGAAGTCAAAACGTACCGTACTCTTGAGTTAAAGTCCTTGACACGTAAAACCATTTTGCTTTGTGTATCTAATTACCATTCTTGACTGGTGGTGGTTGAAGCAGAGCTTTAAAATGTCAGGCAGTTGGCAGGGTTTGTTTGGGGCTTTGGGCTTTGTGTTGTTTCTTTGTTTTCCACGAGATGCTCAGTTGCAGTAATTGTGTTATGCAGTCAGAAAAGCCTGGCTCAGAGGAAGGTAATTATTGGTGTGTATATTTTAGTAATAACAATTAGAGAGCCAGGGAACAAAAATGAGACAGGAGAAAGAACATATTACTAAAATGCTCACGTACTTGGGAAGGAAACTACAGCTTGCTGCTTTACTGGAATACAGTTGTGTCTAGTATCTCCCAGGCACCTATGTCTGGTGGTACAACCTGTGTACATTTCTACAGGCAACACTGAGGCAATTAATGGAAATGAAAGAAGGAACAGGCAGTAATTTTTGCTGTAGCACTACGTGCACGGAAGCTGTTAACTCTTTTTGTGATTTGAGGTTCTCAAGAGAAAGGCCCATCGGAGAGGAAAACTAAAGCACAGTTCTTTGGCGGTGGTGCTATAGCAATACCTTGCTATTTTAATTAGGAACACAGTGTGCTCGGTTCTACTCAGGTCTGAACTAAAAGGCAGTTCCAGCCCCATGTTGCTTAAGACATAACACAGCAGGTGGGTAAAAGAGCAGACGGGTACATCAGGAGAAGGAGTGAGTTTAGTGCAGACAGAAGATGACATCCATCTGGCCAAAAGCATCAGCTGAGGAGGTGGGCTGGCAGGGCAACAGGTTGGCTTGGGAAAGGTTAAAGCAGTGGCTACAGTGACCTTGCATAGGTATGTCTGATCATTTGTAGGTTTCTGGACTTACTTACACTATAAATGCCTCTTCTGGAATATTCCGTGCTGTCCACTATATGACAGGCTCCTGAATTAGATTAGGCACTGATTTCTCCTGCCGTGGTAGTTTCTATCCCGAAGAAAAAGGGCCCAATAACCTGAGCAGACAAGTTTCTGGAGCTCCAGCTATTGCCTTGGACTTGAGGGGGCTTTAGATCTATGTGCCCATGCTGGTGCTGCCACCAGAAAGCTGCTCCCTGTAACACACTGCCAAAAGCACACTGCTTCTAAAGCTGACAACTTCTGCTGTCATCAGCTTGGGCCCCTTGCAGTTTAAGGGGATCTCAGACAAGATGCAATGATAGCAAGTAAAGGGTGAACACATGCCTATAGAAAGGCAGATACACCACCAGCTTAGTACATCCTTTCCTAAACAACACTTGTAGCAAGCATTTGCTGCCTGGAAATGGCAGTAGGTGACATGAGCTTTGTGTTCACAGTCCTGAAGTACCACAGGCTCCTTTGTAGATGAGAGGCTCCATGTATCAAATGTAACTTACCATTATGCTCCAAGCTGCTTGGAAGATTACTTGGACAAAAGGAGGTGGAGGCATAGCAGAGATGACAGAATTACAAAATCATATGGCAAGAGAAATCTAGCATGACCATGCAAGACACCCTAAGCTTGGACCATGAGCCAACACAAGGGGACAAATAAAGCTCGCAGGCTTCTAGCCCTGCTGGAATAAGAGAACATTTCTGAATAAAGACAGAATTTCTTCCCCAGGATTTTTCGGAGCCACGCTTCTCTAAAGTAGTCAAGGAATTTGCTGTACTATGTGCTTTGGATGGAAAGGAAAGCTTGGAGGCACTTAGTGAATGCTGAGGCACAAGACCAGACCTAAATCTAGCTCAGATCTGGGAAAGATAAAGCAGCGTACTGGTTTTATTTCTGTCATGGTGATGTTATAGGGATTGCAATCAGGACTGGTTTACAAAGAGCTGATACACAAAGCTCTGGCCCTAAGGAGAGTTCTGCCTTGCCAGGCAAAAGCTGGAAGGAGAAAGGGAGATAAGGGGAGATGCTCTGGGGAGAAAATCAAGTCAGTAGCACGAAGGCAGGTGTTTCAGTGCATTGGATCTCATTGCTTCTCACATGTGGGCAGGCAGCAGATAAAAGCTGAATGAAGACTTTAAACAAGACAGTCCAAGATAGGTATGATTTAGACAAACCTTTGCTTCCCCAAAACCTATTCTATCCCCCAGACTATACATACTGAAGATTAACGTCAAGCTAAAGCAGAGAAAAGCAGCATAAACTCTCACTAGAGGGAAGCAGCAGTAACATCAGGGGAAAGAACTAAGCTAGACACAGGAGGTAAACAACAAAGAAGCAGAAGGGATGAAAACTGAAGTAGGCACTCATTTTGTATAGATTTGTTTCAGCAATAGGTAAAAATCAAACTTCCTGAGGCTAAAAAATAGCACTGTCCTCTGTATGTGGTCAGACTTTATCAGATCATCCAGGCAATAAATTGAATCAGGAAACTCTTCTTGACTTACATAGAAATAAACCTTTAACAGCTTCTCTATGTAATTAAGCAGCTTGCAGACCTGCAGCTGCACATAAAATCTAGCAGCCCAAATCTTCATCTGTTGTAAATTAGAAAGCACCTTTATTTTTAACAAACCTGTCTCGATTTATGCAAAAGCATGGATCTTGCCTACCCAGCTTTAGCCTATGCTTAAGTGATTTAGGAACATGGTGGAAAAGTACCTATGAATCCCAAGATGGAAAATTTTAGACACTTCTAATTCTTGGATATCTCACTGTTAAAATGAGGATGATATCAACAGGCAGATCTATCTTGTTTGAAAATGTCCCCTCATTTTGCCCAACACTTTAACTCACAGTTTGAACGCTTGTTAAATGACTTGGATAATTTTCAGCTTTACTTCATTTATCTAGTACATATAGATCTTCCCATCAACATGGCACCCCTAGGTTTAAACACGCTTGTACTTACAAATGAAGCTGTTTAGGAAAAGTAAATCATCAGTACTGAACATATACTGCTCCCTTCCAAAACTCAGACCAGATGTAGCAGTGTCCTCCAAGGTCCCTATTCTCAATGCAAACTGATTGTCTTCAATAGACGAGCAGCTGCACCCCAACAGTAGCTATGCTGGTTTTCTTCTTTTTAAGCACTCAAGCTTGCAATTTATCTTCCACTCAGCTCTGCTATAAGCTTCAGGCTGTCCAAATCTTAAAAGACAAAAGAATGAGTCTACTTCTAGCTCCAAGTTTAATAGACAACATTTCATATCTCTTGCCTTTGGGTGGGTTTTCTTCCTTACCCAAGCAGAAGCTAAACCCTGAGGAATGATTTTTCAAAGCAATACCTTTCACTTCTTTCTGAAGAGGTAAATAACTAATCACATCAAAGCCTAGAGCACATCGGAGAAGTTATTTCACACCTGGTCCCAGACAGGTTGTCTGCGTGGTCTGGCCCTCAGCTAAGCAGATTAACAATGGCACTTTATTAAATGGCAAGCAATGGGATGTGGGCTTCTTTATGATATACTAATAATGAAAATACAATGCTGGCCAAAAGCCAGGATTTAAGGCTCTGATTTGAGCAAAGATAAGAAAGGGCCAGAAGCATAGAAACAGCTCAGGAGACATGCATTGCCTGGAGCCCTCCTTTGAGGACCTTCTCATGCTAGTGAGTATAACTTAGAACACAAAGCATAGGATCTTGCTATGATACAGGCCTACTCCAGACGGATTACAGTCCAGGTAAATAACAGAAGGGACAGAAAAGCATCATTTCCTCTAGTTCACAGTTAGAGAAGATACACTTAGAAATGCTGCAGTAGAAACAAGGACCATATCCAGGACACTTGTTCCTTTCCACTGCCTGAACTCAGAGACCTCCCCAGGTTTAATTTTTCACTCTGGTGCATTACTTTTTCTATGAAGGGTTAGGGAAACCACCTCCTGTCTGGCACCTCTGCTTCCCTCCACTCCAAAATGATGTCCTCTAACAAGGGTATTACTCATAGATGAGTTGGTACTTTGAGTACAGTGTTAATGACTGAAACTATGAATATAAATTAATTCTATTGTGCATTTAGGAGCTTGGAACAAGCCACCCGTACGGAGAGGCCATATATATCGGTAGAAACAAAACCCTGGGCAGAGTTCATCTCAGACTGATTTTCCTATTGATCGAGTGAAATAGAGTTGCCTCCTCCTTAGACGTCTAAAATAAGTCTGCTGAATCATGGTCTTTAAGGGTCTTTAGTAACAAAATACTTCCTTTGTTCATTTAGGCTTCAATCCCTTCCAACATCCTTTGTTACTTAGGGAAGGGCCGGGTCTCTGCAGGGCTCAGTGTTAGCTCAAAATCTCCAAGCAACCTTCAAAACCAAGGGTTACATCTATAGAACAAGTAGCACGGGTGCCGAGGAAAGGTGGAGAAAAGGAAGCAGGGCACTGACAAATCACCTCTTGCATCTGCAATTGGAAAGATTCTCAAAATCAGTTGGAATTTTCATCTCTCTCCCCCCTCACCTTGCAAGTTCCTCTTATGGGGCCATTTGTTCTAAAACAAAGACTGCAAATGACACAGTAGCTGGAACTGCTATGAGTATGCATGGTCAGCGTGCCTTGTCTCTCCTTATTTTCTCCATGCTCAGTTTGCCTGGCAGGCAATTCTCATTTTACATCTCAAGAATCACTTGTCAGCCTATAAACAAGACCTTGTTAGCTGGCTTCCACCTTCTGATCCCTGCAGGAGCTGGTGATCAGCATGGAAAGAACAAACACTTAAACCACCACTTGTGATGAAACGGAGTGCTCTTCCTTTCTGAGCAATACGGGACTGGCAGGGGATTACGGTAATGGCAAGGATACTGCCTGCTACATCAGCAGAGCAGTAAAGTTACTGCTGCTCCTTGACAGCGTGGAGCTGAGCACTGCAACGCGGGAGGGATGCCTTGAGGGATGATGGAGTCAAGCCCCCCCCCCCCCCCAAACATTGGGTGCAACCGTAAGCTATCAAAATGCTAGTGGGGAAACAACAGGAGAAAAGCAATGGATTTCCAGGCACAGAGTCCTGCATGAAGAGAGGAGCTGGCTGTGATGTGCTGTGAATTTCCAGATGCTCAGAGGAGCTGTGCTGCCTTCTAGAGACTAAAGAGGTGAGTGAGGACTGGGGCAGGCACGGGGATCCAGGGCATGCTCTTCCCCATGCTATCTGCCACAGGTTGAGTATTATCTAGTTGGCTTTGAGCATGAATATCTCTGTCAGTGCTTTCTGCTGCATCTCCTTGACTTCCCAGGAAGTTTTGCTTCATGTGCTTAAAAATTAAATGTGATAATTTCTTAATTTTCTAGTCCACTGTCAACTCTGTAATGACCGCAGCTGTAATGGTTGGAAATGCTCCATGCTACAGTCACTTTTCACTGATGTGCTTAGTAAAATCTGTCCTTTTCTTTCTCGGAATAATCCTTCAGCTCGCTCCATCTCGAGGGAAAGAGAATATCAGATCCAATTCCGTTTCACTACAAATTCCCACAGTGCAATACCTTTTCATCTCCCCTCCCCCCTCTGCCCTGCTTGGGAGCTGGGAATTTCAGGGATTCAGTTTTCAATGCCTTCGCCTACAGGAAAGTTCAGGTCTGAGGTTCAGCAATGTGACAGTTGTTGCTGCTCTGTTTGTGTAAAGTGCCATCTGAGGCACTCATCTGAAAGACCCAATATTAGGACATTTCGAGTCTCACCTTATCTCAGATTTAAGACTACACAGGGGTAGTCTTAGTGGTGGTTTTTCACATGTCTGGTCAATATCTGGGATGGGAATATTACATTCACATCTAGACGGGCTTTTCAGCCCACACTTGTGGCTTTCCCTTTGTGTCCCCAGTGTCTCAGTTCCCAGGCTTATCCTCACTTTCCCATCTGATCTACCTTTTCTCCATATTTAGTCAGCTAAGGCTGAGCGTGGCTTCCAGATACTCTGAAACGTGTCACTCAGTAGGAAACTGGCTCCTTGTAACATCTTCTGCTCGGCAGGAATTGCTTTTCCCCATAGATCTCTAAAATGGGCAGTTTAGCGGCAGTAATGAGCAGTTCAGTGGGGAAAGGAGTCACTTAATAAAGAAACTGTTGACTGAATTCTGGACTCCTACATCTGCTGCACAGTTTGTAAGCCCTGAATTGTGTCCCGCAGGTTTCTGTCGCTCCTAGAACTGGTCTCTGCAGGTGAACTGATAATTAGGATTGACTGCTATCCCTAAAGGAGAAGGGGCTGCTGCTGGGAATGTGGTGAGAAAATTCAGCCAATAAAATTGACATTGGTCTCAGCTGTTCTTCAACAATACTGGGCTGAAAAAGGTTGGTTCAGCTAGCTGGAGGCAGGCTGAGGAGGCTCCCTAAAATAGCCTCCCGCTCTATTCTTATATGGGAACCATAGCAGTAAGTGGCTGTTGCTTCTGGGAATCACATTGTTTGTGTCTTTGTCTCCTTCAGGGGGGTGATGATCCGCATCCTTGACACAGCAAACTTCACTCTCCCCTTCAGAGCAAGCCAGAAGCTGACATAACTTTAATTCGCAGCCCAGGACCTCAAGTGACAAGTGCTCTACAGCATAGAGAAGCTTTGATTGATGCTTCACACCCTGAAGATGGGTAGTGGCAGGTATCTCAAACAACACTGCTGAGCAGACACAGCAGCAGAAGCCTCCACCTAGCCAGGTTCCTAAGCTGATTGTAAGGCAGAATTAGGACTAACACAAGGCAATTAAAAGCATCAGTGATTTCCTCTTGAAACTTTGAGAGCCTTTGGAATATTTATGTTACTTCAATAGTGAATCTTCCCAATAAGACAGAAATGATTTTAACCTGCCATTCCAATATTTCTTCTCGCATAATCCTGGAAAGTGGGATAAACAGCCTCAGCTTTGTGTAGCCTCACTTCTGCACCTCAATGAAAAAGCAAAAGGAGTTTAATTTGACTTGGAAATGGTGGCTATTAGCTGTGCTATAACGGTAAAAACTTGGGGAGAAAGGTAGATTTTCTAACATGTTTCTGGATCCTTCTCATCATTCCTGGTGCTGCACTTCTAAGATGTTCTTAAAAACTCTTTTCCCCTGCAAAGCCAAGCAAACGTTGCTCATGGGACCTTCTGAGAACTGATCTCACCACTCTTTCTACCTGAAAAGGGAGTGAAATACAACAGCCTCGTATGAACGTTATCAACCACTCACCATGGCTTTCCTCCCTGGAAACACCTCCGACTGCTCCAACTGCACCCACTCTGTGGGGCCTGTGAACGTTACAAAGGCCATTTTACTAGGTGTTATTCTAGGGGGGCTGATTGTTTTTGGGGTTTTGGGTAATATTCTGGTGATTCTTTCTGTAGCCTGCCATAGACACCTTCACAGTGTTACCCACTATTATATCATTAACCTGGCTATAGCTGACCTCCTCTTGACTTCCACTGTCCTGCCCTTCTCAGCTACTATGGAGATTTTGGGCTACTGGGTCTTTGGGAGGATCTTCTGCAACATCTGGGCAGCTGTTGATGTCCTCTGCTGCACTGCTTCCATTATGAGCCTCTGTATCATCTCGATAGACAGATACATCGGGGTGAGCTACCCACTGAGATACCCAAGTATAGTGACAGAGAAGAGGGGTCTCCTGGCATTACTGTGTGTTTGGGCATTGTCCCTGGTGATATCGATTGGACCTCTTTTTGGCTGGAAGGAACCAGCACCAGAAGATGAGACCATCTGTCAAATCACTGAGGAGCCTGGCTACGTGTTGTTCTCTGCTCTAGGCTCCTTCTACCTCCCCCTGACTATTATCTTGGTGATGTATTGCCGAGTGTATGTAGTGGCCAAAAGGGAAAACAAAGGTCTCACTTCTGGTCTGAAGACAGAGAGATCTCGTTCTGAAGAAGTCACCCTACGGATCCATCGCAAAAATGCTCCTGAAGCAAGCGGATCGGCATCCAACCCCAAGAGCAAGCATCACTTCTCAGTGCGTCTCCTCAAGTTCTCCAGGGAAAAGAAAGCTGCCAAGACCCTGGGAATAGTGGTGGGATGCTTCGTGCTCTGCTGGCTTCCATTTTTTGTAGTAATGCCTCTTGGTAAGTAAAGCAAAACCCTCTGCCTTTTTCAGCACCTTCCGTGGAGGGAGGGCTGTGTTTGTGCCTGTGTACAATAATACTGATTGGAAAAGCTCTGAGGGAATCATTTGCTATTGCAAAGCTGTCAGAATCAGACCATGCACCTTCACAAAGCAGTGAGCATACAAAATGAAAGCCTCAAAAGAAACAAAACTTCTCTGGTGAGGAGAAGCCCAGAATTCCAAAAATAATGGGAAGGATTTAGTACTCTTTTTCCATACAGAAAACACTCTTTCAGAACTCCAACTTGATTCTAACCAGCTTTGTTATAGGAACAATATCTTTAGATATGTGTGTGTTTATACCTAAGTTTGCAACCAGTTCTTCAGGTGATATGAATACATAAAAGGTCAAGATATAAATGCATTCAGGGTCAAAGTAGCTTGGACCCAGACCTCTTGGAGTGCTCAGCACCTAATAATTCCCACTGTAAGGAAAAAAATGAGTTTCCTACCAGGAAATCCACACTGTGAGATACCCTATTCCAAATGAATATACCCAAACACTGTCTTCAACCATCACGCTGAGCATGAATATTTATGCAGCAGTTGTAATTCTAAAGGGGAAGGAAGTCGGGGATTTGTTCTGCTTTGCTGAAATACAGAGAAGTAATTAGGATTTTAATTAAACCTGGCTCAGTCACCTTTAACGCCATTTCAGGATTTAAAAGCAGAATCCTAATTCCCCACCTACAGCTGAGTGTGATGTCTGTGGCACATCCCACCATGGTTTGCTCTGCAACAGCTCTGCTAAATATTAGGCTTGGAAACATGGAACCTTAAATCTGTGACTTGCTCAGTTTTCTTATGGAAAGGGTTTATGCTGCACAGGAAAAATGAAGTAAGACTGTGTGGAAGTTTTAGCTAGTACAGAATACTGTGTACAATTAAGACAAAGGAAAACCAGCCTTACCTAAACATGAAAAGAAAGATCTGGGGATTTTCTTGTCCTTTCAGCTTATAAAAAGCTGTTCTTTATCAATTAACCTCTACTGGATTGACCAGGATTACCAGGTTGCTCCACAAAACCCTGTTGCTAATACTGCCATGTGAAAACCCCCAAAATACAGAATCTTCTCTGTTGGTCAATACTGGGAAGTGCTGGAGGATGAGAGGTAGATGTTTTGTAAGAGGGAGCTCTGAAAGGCCTGGCTCATGCTGTCCAGGATGTCAGCGTGTTGGAATGCTGGTTGCCAAGATGTCTGAAACATACCCAAAAAGGGTTCGTGAGGACGCATTTAACACACTTCTTTTCATCTGCAAACGTGGTTGCCCACACAGAGCTGTTGTTATTGGATTTGCTTTGGGATTCACAAATTTTCTGGACTCAAGAGTGGTTTTGCATCTTTCTTTGATCCCTTCTAAGGAAGCTTTCTTGAGGTTAGCTCCCCTATCTTTGTGGGGTTATCGGGTTCTTTTTAAAGCATCGATATAGTTTTTCAAAACCTATTTTTACTGCTTTTGTTTAAACTTTTAAGCAGCCAATTGCCACAAAAGAACACCTCTTTAGAAAGAACCAAGAGAACACACCTTGAGGCAGGCTGTCCCATCCAGAGCCACAGACTCACCCAAGGATGATTGCATATGGCACTGTGGGCAGCAAGCACTTTGTTGCGCAGAAGACCAGCTCTGCAGCTTCACAGCCATGGGGCAGACCTATAAATGGTCCCATCAGCCAGGCCACTCTCAATGAAGCTTGCCCATGAGACAAACATTCTCAAACCATGCTACACAAACCACTTCATACACTGCCAGGTGCTTATCACTCTATACAGCAAAAGCTCCCAAAACATAGGTTTATGTTACTGTGATCCACAACATCTTCAAGATCCTCACATCTATTAGTATCAGCTCTACCCAACAAGAACCACATTACGACAAGAGAACACCAGGCTTGTTAAAGCATATAATAAAAGGGGATAGAAACTTCTGAGGAGTAGGTATGGGAAGAGCAAGAGTGATAGAAGGATATCAAGAGGGGAATAAAGGCATGATATCCTTATTTCCAACAGCATCTGCCAATAACTTGAGAAAAAATTTGAATATCCCTACCCCAAGACAATATCTTAATTAAAATCGGTGTGTGAAGGTGCCAGTTGCAATCTGTGTAAGTAAGGCCTTTCTTACTTTCTTGGATGGAGCCTCATTCCAGGCAGAGGGTCTGTGCAAAGGCTTTCAGTCAGTCCAACAGTCCAATACACCTTCTTGTCACTTTGCTTTGATGTTTGTGGAGTAAGCCAGGCAATGACAATCCTGTTGCATGAAAATAAGTGAGGTTAAGATTTGTTTTTTCTCTGCATGCTGGAGCATAAACCCACCCTTTACAAACCTTCTGTAACATAACAGTGTCAAGACAGCTGATTTCCCCCCAAAGAAGTCACTTTTTCATTTCAGAATGCACTTTCTCTCCCTCTTCAGAGATAAGCAGGAGATCTGCTCCTAGGATCTTAACAAACCCTCAGAATCAATTGGGATCTTAACAAACCCTCAGGAGCAAGCTCAGAACTTTGTTGTCCACTTCCTGTGAGGAGCTATCTTAAATCTGTCTGGCTGTAAATGTTGTTCCCTCAGCATAGTCATGGCTGGGATGTCCAGATACTCAGGGAAACAAGGATCTGAATCCCTTGTCTTTCTGTTGCTCATCTGATACTAATATAATAAAATCAAATGAATAAAAGCTGTGACAACCTCAGCTTTCATATCAGACAAGGCCAAACTCCAGCCATGGAGGAAATGCTTAGAGCTAATGTGTAGATTCCCCATGTTAGTATTTCAGAGGGGAAAAAGAAATAAGGTGGGGGGGGCAATACACCAAACCCAGACTAAAGCCCCAGCTCATTCCATAGAGCACAAGTCAGGGAGAAGAAGGATGTTTACACTCGAGTCTTGGAGCACAAGTGTGTGTGTTAAGCCATTGAATGAGGAGAAAATAAAGCATGAAGATAAACAGCCAAGATATTCCCTTTTTTTTGCTAATCACAAGGGGCCTTTTTCACAAACACAGACTGGAAAGGCTTTGTTGGTCTAGGCTGATAACTCAGCTACACTGAAGCCAATGGCAAAGATCCCACTGACATCCCTGTGCCCAACATTTCTCCACCATTACCAAGTCCTGAAACGTTATGTCCCACTGACTCATAACACAGCAGAGCAACGGAAGGAATTGGTGACATTTATAGCCATTTTACACTGAAAACAAGAGAGAGAAAGTGGAGTCGGTTGTGCTGTGCTTCATGATTCACTTCTGTGGCTGTCCTGCATGCACCACCTGTCAGAGGTTTGTCCTCGTCTTCAGAATATTCCTGCTTTGTGTAGCCACCACTTTCAAATCCCTGGAGTAAATGAACCAAGAATGTCATTTTTCATTCTCAAATGTCATGGCACCGTTTAGGATTCGTGAGTGACTGAAAGGAGAGGAGGGATCCTCCAACCCAACCCAGCAAAGGTCAGGATTTGTCTTTAATTGGAGACAGAAGGGAGAGAGACTCAGTTTTTGCTGAAGATAATTCCTGTATTGCTAACCCCAAGGATCCCAAAATCACGACAACCACACACTGACAAAGTGGTGAGACAGGCTGAGGCAGACTCATCTTTTTGTTCTCTGAACTTGTTGGATTCTTGGTCTACTTTTTCAAGGAAAGCTCAGATTTTGCTATAAGTGCATGACTGTAAGAGTGAGGGCTTCGGGATGAATATTGACTATCTTAAAAACGTGAGCAATGAGAGATCCAGAATCATCCCATGCAGTAACAGCATGGGAGCTGGAATTTCAATGACAACGGAGCTGATTTGTAAAGCAACGTGATTACTTGGTTTTAAATGGGTAACAAAACCTCAGTTTACCTTCCCAGGGGTTTTTATCAGCTTTCTAAATCTGCAGCTGCACTCAGTGAATCTCGAAATAGTTGCTTGCTGAGATCTTTGCTCTTTGCCAGAAATATCATCCCTTGTCAGTGGTACAATGTGAAAGAGCATAAATTAGGGCTGGGATTAGGAGCACCATTCCCAGACCGACCCATTCCTGTTGCTTGCCCTTTCCACCTCCCACCTGTGTCCAAACACCCGCACCCTCCTGATGCCCCAGAGGTCTGAATTCAGGCCCTTGTGAACTAAACCAAACTCCCTCCTCCTTCTACCTCCATTTATTATGGATCAGGAATGTCCATCACAAAGTCACTCTCATTTTTCCCCTGAATATTCCCCCCACAGTATTCCAGGCCCTGGGACAGGAACATTTGTAAGTGTTCAAGCCTTGCCAGATGCAGGCTTTTATCCTTACTCACATCTATGAACCGCTGTTCTGCATTTGCTGCCTTGATTTGATTGTACAAAACCCTGAGGCTTTTCCTACTGTTCCAGGGTTCTTTGATCCCATTTCTTGTTCCCACAGAAAATACTTTCCATAAGGGAGCAGCAGGGTGAGACGTGCTGGGAGACCATATACGTACAGAGAGCAGCTGTTGAATGTCTGAACCAATACATATATATTTATAAGAATATATATAAATATAGTTTCCAGAGGGTGGTTTCTGGTTTGACCCAAAATGCAGCGTAGAATGCCAGTCTTATGGAACAAAGTTCAGTGCTAACACTGAGCTTGGGAACACAAAATGTAACACATTCATCAATGTTGGTAGAGCAGACTGCCTCCTGAGAGCCAGGGTGCTCCAGTACAGTGTTAACCTCTGTGGGGACATCAGTGCTACTTCTGCGCTTCATTCTCTGGGTCTTTGAGGCAATTACTCTGGAATAGCTGCTGCTCTGTACCTTGACCCCAGTAAGAAGATCCCAGGACCTGTGTTTTAAGCTTTGCCTCCCTCTAAACCAGACCACTGCTTCCAGTCTGATGGGAGTACAAAGGTGTATTTCCTCTATGTCAGAGCCAAGGGATGCTAGGATTTTTGTGTCACTTCTGTGCAAGGTTTCAAATCAGCACTTCTCATTCCAGTGACACTTTAAGCCCTGATAACTAAACAAAAGGCACTGCTGTTCTCTCCCGAGTGGAGTCTCCAGCTGTTGACTTCTAGATATTGCAGGCAACTGCTCATTGCAAGCTCTGAATTCACAGGCGTGACTGCTTTCCAGGTTATTGCTGGCCTCTCAGCACATACGGATGCAGTCCTGATCTCACTCATGCACCATACGCCCCTGCCTGCCTTCTCCTGTGCTCTGACTCAATCACCACATTTGGGCCATACGACATCAAAAGGGGAAACACAGTAGCAAACCTAAACAGAGCTGCAAGAGATGGATTCTAACACCACTATGGGTCACAAAAACGTATTGGATCTGATTCCCGTGGTGCTGACAGAGATGATACAGATTAAACAACACAAGTTTCTGTTGTCTGGCAGCTTCTAAATCCCTCCTTGCTGTCCCTCAGTTAAACAACACGACATCAGTACTGGGTTTTATACAACCTATAATCAAGCAGCTCTGTAACTTCTGTCAAATGACAAAGTCAAATTACATCTTTGTGACTGAATTGGCATTTACTCAGCAGGAGGTAGATGGAGAACTCGCATCTGAAGAAACTCTGAGTTAACAAACAGGAAAACAAATGCTGAGGGATGGCAATGCAGTCCTGACATTTTCAGGGGTGAGTGATGAAATACTTAATAGCAAAAGGTCTCAGGAGGTTAACAGTATATTTTGGTTTACTTAATTTTCATATAACGAGCAACTGAATTGAGCTACTGACACTGGAGAGTCCTCAACCTTTTGAAAACCAAGCAGGGATTCAAGCATCATTTAGACAATCTACAATTCAAAGGCATTCAAAGATCAGTTGAAGTTTTCTTTACTGTTCCTCCAGCACAGACTGCAGCGAGCCAAGGTAAGATGAAGCCTCTAAACTGTAATCAGTTTTGCCACTATTTACCAGCTTAATCCTGACAGTGTGCTGGGGAAGGCATTAAGGCCTGCGAACAGCTTAAAGAATAAGTTGCTTTACACAGGGAACAGTCTTATACCATATACCTCAAAGAAGAGAGAGTTCACCACACTGCTTCATTGTTGAATCTCATGGTTAACTATGGGCATTGCTTAAAAACAACCCAAAATCCTATATTTTGTTTCTACTTTGAACAAATCAGACTTGAGTTCGCCTGGTGCAAAGTTTCAGCACACTCAACAAAACACTTTGTCACCAGGCTTAGCAGCCCTGTTAGAAAACAACTCCCACTTGCTACCAGACACATCAACCACTGGTATTAATCATGACAGCAACATCACTGCATACTGAAAGCCTAGAAGAAAAGAATACATTCTTAGTATTCCGTGGGGAGGAACATGATTCAGCAAGGACTCAGAGAACATGCAGGTTTTTTACCCCCTACACAGTATTTCAGTAGCTCAAGGTTTAGACACGCTGATCATGACTTACGCGGCTCTGGAAGCTGAATAACCTGTTGGCCTAAGTAAGAAGAAGGTCCAAATTATTTCTGCTTTGATTTCTAGCTCTGTTACATGTTGCTTCCATTGACTGTCAGTTCCAGCCTCAGCCCTCCCAGGATGCTACTGGCAGTATTTCTTTCTATTGACATTTGTACTGTTTCATTCATCGGATAACACACAGGTATAATGAAGCCTGCAGACAGAGCTTTAGCTGATGTTGTGAAACATCACAACCAAATGCAAAGCAAAGCAAAACTACTGTCCTAAAGCCCAGGGTACCCACCACTGAAAGAAAGTGTTAAAGACAGCGTGTGGTGGGGCCTACAGATAGCAATGTTTGTATGCTGCTAAAGCTACTTGGTTTTATGCTGCTAAAGCTACTTGGTTTTATGCTGTTAAACCTACTTGCTTTTCTTCTCACTGTGTGTTGTTCCAAGGCAACAGCTCTCGACTCTGATGAACCAAAAAAGGTTACATCAATAAATTAGCATGCAGATCCCCACCCCAAAAAGAGAGCAAGAGACAGACTCTGACACTGGCTATTTTCTATTTATAACAGGTGTTGGCAAGGCACTAGCATTCCATTGAGTGAGACACGAGTTGCAGCAAACAGGAATTGTTATTGTTTACCCATTTTTACACTCAGCCTCACACAGCTGATTCCCTAAACTGAGATTTGTTCCACCTTTTGTCTTAGCACAGAATGGGAAAGCGGTGGATACGCTGCGATTAAATGAGGAAGTAAAGAAAAAAAGGGGCAGGATTTGGGTATTTAGAAGTCTTTTGCTGTTTTTCATCTGCCAATGACTTCAGCCAGAAAGTTCTTTGAGAAGGTTGTTGAGTTGTTTTTCACTACAGGAAAGCAGCATTTATTTGCTGTGAAAAACAATCTAGCTTGCGGCTAAGCCTGCTCACCCGTGCTTAACTGCAAAACAGTGCTTTCTTCAGCACAACAGTTTGGGTCTTAAGAACTGGTTGATATTGAAACTAATAGTGAAACGGCTCTACTTAGCTACTCAAAGCAACACAGGAGCAATCACAGGGGGAATGAGACTCATGCTTGATGCCCAGGTTGTAACTGGCATTGGAATAGGAGCTTCCGAGACAAAACCTGTGGCATGTTGTGCTCTGCCTTGGGGTATTCTGACCCAGTCTCACTTCTCTGCTGCTCCACCACATACCTGGGTCTACAGGGACCTCTGTTCCACCATACACAAGATGGCCTAGGCATTAGGGGACCTCTTCCAAGCCAGAGATAACTGAAGTACCTCTGACCCCACCACATCTCCTATTTCTTCCCTGACAGCAGCATATCCTCTGTGCCCACCAGCCCCACTCACAGAGCTATGGTAAGCAGACATTGCTTCACATTTCACAGGGAGACCGAGCTCAGTGAAATGAGCGAGTCATAAATCACGCTGCACTATTTGCGTCTCTGGTGCAGGCAATATTTTGATACATTCTCACACAAGCAAAACCAGCCTGGGAATTCCTCATTGGCTTTTACCACTTGACAGCATTTGCTGCACTTGCTGGAGCTTTGGTTGATAAAGATGGGAAGAGAAAGATTCAAACCGAAGTTCAGCCGCTCTCAGAATTCAATTAGAGCACCCTCTGATTGCATTATCAGCTTTTCCTCAGCCAGGGGAGGTCCAACAAGCAGATCAATCTCTGAAAAGTTTAGGAGCTGCTTAGAGCTGTAGTTACACTGCAGAGGGTGATAAACGTATCGATGCCCAAAGCTTCCACAGCATTTCTTGCAACATGCACACGCTTACGTTTTCCAGGGGAAAGCAGGAAGACAAGCATTTGTCAGTGCTAAAAGTCCTGCTTATTATAAACTTGACTATAAATGCAAACCAAGCCGATTGTATTTCCTGAGAAATTGTTTTCCTTCCTGTGCCCACACTAATCCTGACATTGGGATGACCAAAACACTTCTTTTTTCCCCCCTTTCTTTTAAAGGAGGCAAGAAACAGCCTTTCCCCTTGACAACATATGGCAAATATTCTTCTCCTTCTCTGGTTCTAGATTAATTTTGCAAAACTGGTCGTAGAAGTGCTGTGATCACTTAGTCTCTGAAATGGTGTGATTTTCTTGCCATTTGCAACCCCTTTTGATGACCTCCTAGATATGACTGTTATTTGGCTAGCTAATCTTGAATTACAGAGTCCCAGAGGAAGCAATTCTCCTCTGTGAGTTGTTATCAGTCCTCTCGCCTGCCTCTCTGGCTGTAACTGGGAGTACAGTGCCTGTATAATAAATGAGATGAATTGATTTCTGACAGAACATCCATGTGGTTGTATGACACTATATTCTGAAAGACTTATTCCTGCAGGAATTGGGCTTTGAGTCATAAATCTTCCAAGCCAGAAGAGCTCCTTATTTATTTTTTCCCAGTGTTTCTTTGGTTACCTGCAGTTTCTCACTGCCTCTGCCTTAACACTCTGTGTATTTTCCATTTTAGGTTCTTTCTTTCCTGCAATCAAACCCCCGGACACACTTTTTAAAATAACATTTTGGCTTGGCTATTTAAACAGCTGCATCAACCCCATCATCTATCCCTGCTCCAGTCAGGAGTTTAAGAAAGCCTTCCAAAACGTCCTGAGAGCGCAGTGCCTCCAGAGGAAGCAAGCAACAAAGAAGCAGTCCCCAAGCTTCAACCTCAACCCTGCCACTGGCCAAAGCACAGAAAGTGGCAAAGGTGTGGTCCGGATCCCTGTTGGCTCAGGAGAAACCTTCTATAAGATTTCCAAGGCGGATGGGGTCTGTGAATGGAAGATCTTCTCGGCTGTGCAAAGCATGCCTGCCAAAAATGCAGTTTCTAAAGACTGTACTGTTGCCAAAGTGAAAAGTAAAGGTTTCCTCCAGGAATGCTGCTGTGCGGGCGCTTCAAGGAACCTTGTCCATGAAAACTGCAAAGTGCCAACCATTAAAATACACACCATGTCCCTCAGTGAAAACGGGGAGGATGTCTAAAGGACTGAACACACCCAGCAGCACAGGCTGCCAACTTGTGTTTCTGCTAATGGGATGTTGCTCTTTTTACTGGGAAGTAGAAGTCAATGCTACGATTGCAAGGATACAGGGGAAACAAATAACATATTGTAAGCCAGGACCAAATCTTTCGAGGAGTGATGTCTTTGAGTGCTGGTAGCCTGAACGAAGCCTCTTAAAGATAGTGAATAGCTTCAGTGGACGGTGAGCACCCCTCAGTCTTCCGAGAGACTGGCCCCTGCAAGTCACTTGCCAGGCATTTAAAGGCTTTATTTTTCACTGTATTCCCCTGTTTCAAAGTTCCTATTGCTATGATTTAAGTGCAGTGGGGGAGAAAGAGCAAACTACAAAGAGCCCTTGCAGATACTTTCAGACAGCTCCAAGTTTAGAGTCATTTTGTGATTCTGCACGCACACCCCTAAGCTAAACCTCAATTCACCAGCTGGCATAGCTGAGGTTGGGTGTTAAGCTCAGGTCCTGGGACAGTGTTTACAGATCTCTGCTTACTTAAGATCTCTGTTACTACAGATCTCTTAATGTAATGCTTACATTAAGGGACTGTGGACAACAATGTTTTCCTACCATGTCTTGCTTCTTAGCAAGGCTGTTGGTGATGTCCCGCATGCCTTGCTGAAGACAACAGGCAGCTCTTTGGATTTGCATCTTCAGCTGGGTGGCCTCTTAGGTCCTTATTCCTGGGCTGCACCAGGTGAGGAATTGGTCTTCTCTAATGCCCATGAGGCTGCTTGTCCTCAACCTGTCTGGAAAAAACAGTCACTTCAGCTTACTGGGCATAGCAAAACCACTCTTGGCTCTTGCCCTGCTTGGAGTGGCTCTGAGTTTCCCTTTGTGCTGTGGGTTTTGGTAAACTCCATTGCCAAGGGAAACTTGACCCAAGTGGATGCACTCCACCTCCCCTCAAAGCCCAAGCAGAACTTTGCTTTTTTGTGCAACCAACTTCCCAAGTCTCCAAACAAACTGAAATGGAAACTTGCATGCATCCCAGGTTTGTTTGGAAGGTCTCTGTGCTCAGATGCAGGTCTAATAACATTCAAAACTAGGGAAGCATCATCAAATAAGGCTCAAAGAGGTCACTTTGACTCATCCATTTGTTTTCCTTGTTCTGAGTCCAGCAGGGACTCAATAATTCCTTGCTCAGGTGCTTGCTAGTCAGATCAGTGCCACAGTCACTGGAAAAGCTGCAGGCATTTTGCTGTCTCCCTGCCCAGTGTTATTCTACATTCCTTTTCTGATTCCTTCAATACCAAGTGCTCTAAGCTTTCTATGAGATCCTGGGCACCCTGGAGTCAGGAACTTTACCCTCCTTCTGAGCAGTGGGAGTTAAGCAAGTTAAATGTCTTAATGATGTACATCCCCATGAGAAAGGGCCATCCTTTGGGAATTTGGGAGGAAAGCATTTGGAAGCATGTTATATTTTAATACAGCTAACCCAAATAAATAAATAAATGAGCTGTGCAGCATCTGGAAGAAATAGTGGGAGGAATTCTCTGTACAATATTAGAAATAAGCAGCTCTTGACATAACTCCTCCTGAGCCTGCCAAGTAAGAATGCAGCTTCTTGAAACAACACATAAGCCTTTACTCATGTCTCAGTGTCAGCTCCTGTGCTGAGTACCTGCTGGCTTGCAAAGGGAAATGGCTTGAGATAAGGTTAGCTTTTACAGGGTAGGGCCTTGAAAGGACACCTTGATTATTGCTGAGAAATCACTGTTTATTCATCTCTCATTCAGCATTAAGTCCCCGATGTCAAGAGAATTTCAGTCTTCTGTGTCTGTTATTTCTGCATGAATGAGGTTTCTCTCCTCCTGCAAGCCGTGTCTGCAGCTGGAACATTATCAGAAAATTGTCAAAAGTAAAATCTGATCCTTGGAGCTCTTGCAATACTGCTGCCTTGCACACTCCTGCAAGCAGAAAGCAACCTCAGAGGGTAAATGCACTTCGCATCTATACATGGCCAGGATGCTAATCAAGCAGTGCCACTGTAAATACAGGTGGAGCTCAAAGTGGAAGAGGAAAGCAGATGGACCTAAGTCTGTGTTTTGTGAGGCAGAACAAGCCACCTCATTTCCCCCTGTTCACAATGCATTAACATTATTATGTAATATCAGTACACCTGGAATCCAAAGTGCCCATTTCCAGACCCTGCTACCTTGTAGGGTGCAAAGTAAAACCTGTAAAAGTAAGAATCATGTCTTTGGGCATATTTTGGCAGTATGGAATCAGACAACACCAGCTTGATGGATCTATACAAGAAAACAAGAAAGGTGTAAAAGACCTGCTAAATCAGCATCTTTTTTCTCCTGTAATAACTAAGAACACTTCAGCTGAAGAAAATAGTTCTTCATTCTGCCTCACGAATGCTGCATAGGAAAGCTACAGAATGTCCCAGACAGGTTAAAATTAGAGAAGAATACAAATCAAATCCCTGGAACCAAAACCTTATTTACTTCCAAAAGCATGCACTCATGGACAGCAAACCTATAGCCTCATCCTATTTTCAGTTTAAATAAGAAACCCACCCCACTCTTAAAGCTCTTCTCAGATTTTCTTTTCAGTAAAGTCTAGAATTTGAAACAAAAAGTGTTGAAACACTATGAAAAAAATCTTCTCATGGTACTTCCAGCCAAGACCAGCAGCAGAAAAGCTGGAAATCTCATAAGAAAGTCACATGAGACTGGTGGCCGAGGTTTTCAGTCTCCTGAGGTTCAAATACGTGGGACATTTGTTGCAACAAAACCTGAACTCTGGAACCTTTGGAAAAACACCCGTTAAATTGAGCAAGACCAGCAAGATTGAAGATCTTCACTGCACACGCTTGGGGCCCAGCCCTAGCTATACACTTACTTTATAACTTGAACCAACAGGGTCATTTGTGCCATCTCTCCTTTGGGGCTGGGAGATTTACAAAGGGTCTCTTCAGTCATTTTAAACCTGTTGATGTTTCATGGTGTCAGGTAAGGGGTTGTTGTGAAGCTGTGCATAGGCTGGCACAAATGTGTTAGTTGTCCAATTCCCAATAAATCCTGATGTAGCAATATAATCTGAATCTGAAAGATGAAGAGAGAAGTAAGTCAGCATGCTGGTGGCAATGTCTGGTTAGGCATGATAGTCACTTTTGGAGCACAGTACTCCTGCCTCTGAGAGACAAAGGGTAGAATAATGAAGTCTTGATGTCATCTTCATCCTTTCTGTCACCAAACAGATGCTAAAAGACCTCTCCCTGCGCAGTGACTCTAAAAAGCCCCCAGAGCTCAGCATCAGGCAAGGCTGGTCCCAGCCACACCGCTGCTTCTGTCACCTTTGCCAGCAAAAACAAACACAATTTGTTTGGCTCACTCAGAGAATTTCTGCATGAAAACCGCCCTGTTCCCTTACTGCAAGCAGGGTCATAGGCACTTGTCAGTCTTTGGTTCCAAAAATGTTGTATTTTCCTTCTGTCTGCTGCAGCATTTCGCCTGCATGTTGTACCAGTTTGGCTGCCAGTGGTTTTTAAAGGGGTTTCTTGGAATGGGCACTGCATTTTCTGAACATGGTATTCTGATGTCAGGGAAAATGTGCTGGTTTTAAAGGCCCGCTGCTTATTGTGCAACATGTTTGAACAGTCATGCTGGTCGTCTTCTTGAACAAAATTGAATGTATATGAAATACTGCTGGTGAACAAATAAATTATTGGGGGAAATGTGCACTTTGTGACATGTGGGCTGCAAGTCTGTTTGCAACTTTAGTTGGGTTTTCTTCCCCACAAGTATTTACACAAGTTTGACTTCTCCCTTTCAACAATGATTTAGAGGTTCAGGTAGAGATTTCTTCAGGTAGAGATACCAATACTGCTGATACTCACTGGACTTCAGTGGGAGTACAAGGATAACCACAGAATCATGGAATGGTCCGGGTTGGAAAGGACCTTAAGGTCATCCAGTTCCAACCCCCTGCCACAGGCAGGGACACCTCACGTTAGACCATGTCACCCTAGGCTCTGTCCAGCCTGGCCTTGAACACTGCAAGGGATGGAGAATAAAGGAATCAAATTTGTACTTCTGCTCAAAAACCCTTAAAGCTCTTAACAATTTCTAAAAGGAGGTTGAAAAATCCATTTGGGATCCAGATCATGCCCATGTTTATTCCATTTGCCTACAGTAAAACATCATGTCCCAAACAAAATCCAGCCCATTTTGCTGTATTCTTTATAAATAAATACTAAAAAGACAACTCCTGTCAACCCAAGAATGTAAATAATCTTTGGGGAAAACAGTGCTGAATTATTGTTTTCCTTGATTTACAAAGGGAGCCCTGGCAAAGCCTGCCAAAGCCTGCTGGGCATTCTGGAAGGCAGCTGCCATGGCCCCTTCAGTCTCAGAAACACCAGCAGAAAATGCTTGCAAATAACTGAGAAGGCCAAGGAAATGTTTAGACTGACGTGGCAAAATTAATCTTTCACATGAAGCCTGTTGATCAGCACAGTGAGCTAACAGTGTGGTCTTACCTTTGTTTTATACAGCCAAGGATCCCCAGTTCCTTTTGGATAAATTCTGTTTGCTCCAAGAGAACAAACCCTGCTCTTAAGGTTTTTTTGGTGAAGAACAGGTTGTGAGCAACTTGCCAGTGGGGTACAGGTCCAGCTCCTGGGACTGGTTAATGCTGGAGACGTGAGAGCCAGTAAAGCAATATGCAGATGGAGTTGTTACAGTGCTTTGCTGCTGCTTGTCTTCTGCCACCTTCTCCCATAAACTACGGGAGCATTGAGAAATGCATTAGCCTAATTGCTGCCATTAATCTAACTAGAGTCATATAATCTTAATTTGTATTGAGGCTAATTTTTGTTTAGGAAGAAAATGGCTGGAGCTCTGTTTAATGTAGCTATGGATGCCTTTCAAACCGGCTATTTTACTCCAAATGATGAATTAGGGGTATAATTTCCTTTCAGGTTTTGAAAATTAACATCTCATTATTCTTAACCTAAGGGATATTAGCACTTCTTATGAAAGCGAGTAACGCTCTGATCTAAATTTGGAAGAGAGATCTCAGTAAATGGCTGGAATTATTCACAGACAAAAGAATCAAACCACAGGAAAAAAATAATTAACATTTAAAATAAAATCAGAGTCCTCTTTTTAAGATAACCAAAGCAAAAGGAAGCTGCCTCGTTCAGATCTCAACTGGTCTATTACCCAGCAGTTTCCAACCCCGCAGCGTGAGAACAGCTCAGGATAAGCAGCATGCTGCAGCAGTGGGATTTCCATTCTTTTTGGGACCACTAAGATCTCTTTGAAGAAACTGAACCAATTTCTTCTTGCTTCATTTAAAAATTAGGAACTGGATGTATTTGTCTGTTGATGAGAGCAAAATGCCATCAAGACACATTACCAAGCAACATGATAAATTCTTCATCTCTGAAAGACTTAATAAGATTAAATGAGTGTCTGAAGAACGTGATAGTTCAGCCTCAAACTCTTGGGTCTGATTGCGGAACAAATCAGGGAACTATCCAAAGAATCATCGTTTAAAAAAGACTTAATATTTAGGAATCTAAGCGTCTTTGACAGCTACAAAATTGCAATTGCTTGTCTTCTTTCTAAGTGCATAAAGGCACAGCTCATTTTTCTGGCAGTTATTTCATTATTTCAGAGTCTCTCTTCTAATGAGAAACATCATTCGATTTTTCTCTGGATTCTTAAACTGCAAATTACAGAGAGAACAGCAGCAACCAGAAATAGGAGTGAATGTAGCCTGACAACTCGTTACTTGTACCTAATGAATTAAAACTCTTTGGAGAAGGAAGGAAGCACAAGAAGGACATTACCCTGCTAGGATCTCCTTGTGCTTTCAGACTGACACTTCTGTCTTCTCTGTCTCCATTGAAGGATACCCAGTGAAACATCCTTAGTCTTAGTCACATTTACCTCATTAAATCTCATGTTCAAGCCAGAAAGGAAACACTTGCCTTCCTCTCTTGGGGCTTAGGCTGTTTTCTCTTCCCTTTGGATGTCAGGCTGAAGTCATTCTTGCATCCTTCCCTCCTGAGTGCTTGTCACTGGGAATACTTTCCTGCAACACAAAGCCAGTGGGTGAATAGCTCCTGGGTCAGAGCAAACACAGACCTATGACTGTGGCATCTGCAGTTAGCTTTATTTCTAAACTGAACTCATAGGGCAGGCCTCATGCCAAGAGGTTTTACTCAAAATAGGAGTTTCCACTCTCCACTGATATTGGGTAGCAAACTGCACTTCCAAACTGGGAGACGCGCTAATATTATCTTCTGAGCTTTCTCCTAAGCTGTTTCAGTGCACAAATGAAGTGGGTTTGGTGCTATTGTGAGTTTTGTCAGACCTGAAGGTTGAAATGATCTCAGCACAAATTAGAGGGTGGCCAGGATAACCAGTGTTTCCAACCCTTTCCTTTCCTATGTTGGCCAGCAGGATCAGGCAGTGGCGAGGCCGGCAGAGCTTATAGGAGAACCTTATTGAAGCAATGGCTTCGACACAGATCATAGAATGATAGAATCATGGAATCATAGAATGGTTTGGGTTGGAAAGGAACTTAAGATCATCCAGTTCCAACCCCTTGCCATGGGCAGGGACACCTCACACTAGATTGCATCACCCAAGGCTCTGTCCAACCTGGCCTTGAACACTGCCGGGGTGGAGCAGTCACCACTTCTCTGGGCATCCTGTGCCAGCGCCTCAGCACCCTCACAGTAAAGAACTTCTTCCTTACATCCAACCTGAACTTCCCTTGTTTAAGTTTGAACCCATCACCCCTTGTCCTATCACTACAGTCCCCAGTTAAGAGATCTTTGTGTTAGAGTTTGGGCACACTCCTGATTCCTCCTTTCTTGAACTGGTGGCAATTTCTCTTCTACCCCCAGACTCCTCCTCACCTCTGCTACAGCATGGAGATAGGTTCAGATGTACTCAGACAGAAAAGATAAGATTTAATCCAGTTCTCCTCATGCCCCTTCCCAGCTGTGGATGGTGCAGCCTGGGTTAAATCCATCCATCACTCCCTTCTGCGTGGTTTTGTGACCAGTTACAGGAGCCCTGCAGGCAGCATCTGGGCTGGGGTCTGGGATTAGGACTGTGGGTTTTCCTCTAGGATCCAAAGTAGGATTTCAAACCTCAGGCTTCATCCATTCCCACTGTAGTTAATGAGCTGGTACCATGCCTATAGCCAAGCACACGCCAACATACCCTAAGTTATGGCCCAAAACTGTCTTACAGGCACTTTGCATGTGAGCATAAATGAACACTGCCAGCCAGACCCAGCTTTTCAAAGGAGATTTACAACAAAATTTGCAGGGTTTTGGATTACATCCCCTCTGTTGCTGTGGTTCATAACATGGGTATTTAAAAAATAAACCTGTCATAAATAAAAAGGACCATTTAACATCCAAGTGACAAGTTACAGCAAAACCCAAAGTGTACCAATGCCAGGGGCTTTTTTCAGTTTATAAAACCTTGTTTCTAAGTTTATATAAAACATCTTGCTGGTTTTGTTGGGGTTTTTTTTTAACACTAAAAGAACTCTAGGACCTAATCCAAAGGCCACTGAAATGGATGCAAATACTCCCATTGAATTAAGTGAGTTTAGATCAGCGTGGTCGCTGCATGGGGAGATTTCTCCAGTCAGGATGGGGGACTCTTGCCCTCTTGTGGCTGTTGCTCACTAGTAATAAATACCAATAAACCACCAGGAAAACCTGCTTTAGAGCTGGATTAGGAAAGAATCCACCAGCCAGCCTTGCTGTGCTGGGAAGGGTGAAGAACAACAGAATGAATGTCTGTTAACATTAGAACGGCCACACAAAAGCAAAAAGGGCAAAAATTGGTTCGTGGTTTTTTCCCCTCTGCTGCTTCCAGATTTGTGTCTGTTTCACACAGAAGGGGGGCTGGAGGAAGATTTTTCAGAGCTGTGCCAATGAGTTCTCCATTGTTCATCAGACTGGAAGACGCTGCCCAATAGAACTCAACACCTTCCATATATATGTTTAATGCGGACCTGTTGCCAGTAAACCACACTGGTGGATGCCCCACCGGGGCCTGTATTGCAGCTGGGTTCCTCCCGCTGCAGCCTTGGGATTTGCTCAGGGATGCTCTGAGGGTTTGCTAGACCTTGTCAGTGTTCAGAGGACTGTTCTATGCAGTGATTTTTTAATGGTGGCGAAAGGCAGAGCAGTTGGGTTGCGAAGGACACGGCCTTTGTTGTTGAAATCAACACTGGACTGTGGGAAGAGAGGGGGAAAAAGGATCTGAGCTGAAAAATTTGGAGCCCAGGAGTTTGTTTTGCTTCTGAGAATCTGATTTATTACTCTGGCATAAGAATGAGCCGAAGTATATTTAGTTCAATAATGTAGTTTCCGTGTGACAGCTTTCACCAGGAGAACTCCAGGCTGCTTGCAGAGGTGGTCAGAATCATGTTTCTGTTTTACAGAAGGTAAACTGAGGCATGAAGCCAGCCCAAAACCAGAAATGGACATAAGCATGGCACCAATTTCAAACATCTTCACTGCAGGCATCCCCAGCTGAGTTAGAAGAGTAGAGAATCCTGCTACTCAGTACAGGGAAAGAAGCACTCATAGGCTTGTTGCAGCTTATCCTAGGAGAGAAGCCTTTCCTCCTTACCCATTTTGGAGGGAACAGGCTTTAAACGGTGATTAAACATGCAGAATCAGAA